TCAAAAAATGATAATATAATATGCTTTTAAGCTTATGAACTGGATATAACAAAACTTGATACATTGTACTTGTTTATGTCACTTGCTTATTTCTTAAGATTTATTATTCGCTATGTAACTTAACCTTAATATAAAGAAAAAGAATAAAATTATTGTTTTTTCTGTTAATATAACATCTAAATCAATGAAGTAAACCGTAAAAACCTTTTTAAGATATGAAACAAATTATATAAGTACATGTAGAGCAAGGCTTGAATCTCATCAAGATCGTCTTAGCAATAAAAAATTACTAACAGATATATACTCGTATTTTATTAATAATATTCAAAGAGATACACATAAGCTGTTTTGTATTGGAAAAGAAGATTACTTCGCAGTGCCATTATAAAGCTTAGAAAAGAGCTTACAATACAAGAAAGGAGGTATTTTTCTTAAAGCTTCAATCGAAACGATTTGTCTGTTTATTGGGGTCCATAAGAGTAACGTGCGCGAGACACGTCCGGCGATAATAGCGGGACTGTCCCGCATTTGTTCAGAATTGTGGTCATATTTCATATCCATGGAAATACATATTGCAGAACTTTATTGGTTTCTTAAAATATTTTGATTTAATGGTTTTATTGTATAAATAATCACACTTTAAAAGTATTATGAAAAAGTGACTGAAATTCGGGGAGCGAATTGATACGTGTGTATGTACGTATGCTAATTAATTTATTAATTACCTTGTTTTATTCGTCTCCGCTCCGAATAGCAGAATAACTTTTAAAATATTGAAAAAAATCATAAAAAACAAATTAAAACTTATGTAGCTAACGTTGCCTAATAACTATATCTATTTAATAATCTAATTCGTAACTAGGGATGAATCCGAACGGAGTGAGGGTGAGTTGCTAGTTTTAAATAAAACTATCTTTTCGGATTTTTTTGCGGATTTATTTTGATTTTTGGTTGCCGACGTTTCGAAAGCTTTACAGCAATCATGCTCACGGGACTCTAACATGGTCACGAGATGTCACAGGAGAGAGAGTAGAAGATAGTTTTATTTAAAATCGCATAAAGGATCTAAACATTTATGTTTAGAAAGTGTATTGACTGTCAAAAATTACGGCTATCATGGTAAATTGCTAACACTATTTATAAAGTAGGCGGTAATCCAGACGTTAAAAAAAAAAAAAAAAAGGCGGTAATCCAGTGCGTCTGGGTCTGACTGCGCTCAGTCAGCTATTCCTTTGATGTCTAATAAGGATGGCGATTTTATCGATACTAGCGTTCGCCTAAAGATCGAGATTCGACCGTAATCATTATTATATCTTACTAAATATGTAACTATTTTTTTTATTGATACCACTAAGATCTTCAATAGATATTAACAAAAAAAATCGGCTCCAATCAGAGGACAAAAAAGAACTAAACTGTTTTGTCTTTTACTATTTATATGTAGACTAGATTCGCGCCCTCGCTTTGCTCAAAAGGGTTTGCCACTAAAAGAAACAAATCTATCCCACGGGAAATATACATTTTTCCGGGATAAAAGGTACCTACCCATGTGGTAGGCTATAATCTATCTCTGTGCCAAATTTCATCCAGATCCGTTCAGCCTTTTTGGCGTGAAAAAGTAACAAACATCCATACTCACAAACTTTCACATTTATAATAATAATACGGATTTGACCAACAATATAATACTTTTACACTATGTATATTATATTATATAAAACTAGCTCATGCACGTGGCTACTCTCGCATATGTTATTTATATATAAGTTACAGCAAGCTGTTATAAAAGCTTCCGCAATGAAGATAGTATGAAACGGCTAAATAGAAATAAGCATGTTTTCAAAAACACATACTCTTCAATATTATATATATTATTATTACAACCTATAATTTCAAAAGAGATATATTTTATTGATATCATTAATTATTTATTATTATTTTATAGTGTTTATATATATTTAATATATATATATATATATATATATATATATATATATATATATATATATATATATATATACTATAATCATATTTTGTCGCTATATAGAAAGTTTAGAAATTAAATATTTCTACTTCTTTTTTAACGTACTTAAGTCAAAATAATTTGGTCGATCAATGTGCATTAAATGTCGTGCTTATTTGAGGTGGTAGCATTTCATCTTTACTTTGGTATTCGTGATGAATACCTTAGAGTACTATAAAAGTGACTAATTTAAAAAAAATGTTTCTATATAACTTTTTACCTGAATGAAAGTTATAATAATGTGTTATCAAGAACAACTGACCGTAAATACTATTAGTTCGGTACAAACTAAAAAGCTGCATGGTAAGTCCCTATTTAACATTTTTGTGATTTTACGAAATAAAATAAAGTTAAAACTCGAACGATTTTCATCATACCGTTAATTAATAATTTATAGAAAGCCTCAAGGAGAAAAGTGGTTAAATGTCGAGACGCATTGGTTTGAGCTCGCAATGAAACTATTTAATAAAAAATTACGTTGGCAACACTTTTTAATTAATCTTTTAATTTAACTTGAATAAAAATATCTGATTACATTAGTATAGAAATCCTTAGTACAATTCGTGTTGAATACTTGTCTATATATTATACCAATAATTAACAATAAAAAATAAATTATATGTGTATGTATATAGACATATAATACTTTCTTAGATTTACGCGAATATTGGACATTTTAAATAAAACTATCTTTTCGGATATAGATTATATATATACGTATATATATATATATATATACATATATATACGTATATATATATTGACTTTACAAAAATATTTTTTTTTTAATTGACGTGAAAAATTAAAAAACTGCTCTAATTAGATAACTAGCAATTTCATTATAATATCGATACTATATACATAGACTATTACCATATTGATGCCAAATAAAGAACATTTAACATCGATTAAATCACATAATCGATTTGAGCGTATCGACACGTACTCTTCACTAAGTATGCAAGGTAGAAAGCTCTTAGCCTAGTTATGTAGCGGCTCTCGTCACGCCCTTCTGATACTTTCATACCTGCTCAAGAGCTCACGGTATCCTGGTGCTTTGAGGCAAATTAACAAAGACCAGCCAAAGAAAGAACTGGCCACTTAGCTTCACCACGGGCGCTATGTTCTACCCTCTCATTAACGGTTTAATTTAATTCCTTACATATGGCAGATTAAACTTAAAAGTGTAAATTGTTACTAATATTGCGAAAAACCAGTAATTAAAAAAAAATAAGCCGACCTAAAAAAAACTTCAACACACTAAAAAGTAAAAAATAACTGAACGGGAGTTTTCATTTACTATAGAAATCTACCTGAAATTTTCGAAGTCGTTGCCAGCCGATGCAAAGCAAAGCAAATTTATTTCAATACGTATAAATACATCACAAATTGATGTAGAATATTTTAAGTATAATTAGAGTTCACACTTTAACATACTTAAAGCATAGACACACACATCGTAGCTTACCATGGAACTAGATGGTGCCGTGTGTTAATGTCCCAACATATTTATTATAGGTAAAGAAATGTAACCCGTATGTTCAAAAACTAGCGATAAACAAAGACAGTGAAAAAAGGAAGAACTTGTGTCTTGACCATTCTACTTTAATCACTAATAGAAATCTCTAGACGTAAAACTTATCATGATGACATTGGACGTAAAATTGCCTTTTAGCTTGAAGAAGGACATAACTAGATTTTGACCAACTTTAAGAGAGGATGAGTTTATTTGCTTGTCTTTTAACCAACTTTATTTAATAATGATCTCATGAAAACAAAAAAATGCCTCCAAGTGATTTGATAGTCTAATCATTAACCTTTTTAGTTACATAGATGTTCAAATATTTAGTTTAATTGCTGTCTATTGTTTTAATTTTATTTTTTTCCAACTAGCATTGCCCGCGGCCCGCATTCAGATGACTAAAAACCAAATTCTTAGGTTTTACATATTAGTATACTCTTACAATGCAGTTTTTGTATTTTTTCTCAGAAATGAGATATTTTCCCGCGGTAAAAAGTATCCTATATGTTGACCCGGATAACCAGCTATCATCATACCAACTTTCATCAAAATCTGTCCAGTGGTTTTCTCGCGATGCGGTACCAGACAGACACACAGACAGACAGACAGAAAAACAGACAGACAGACAAAAAATCTAAAAACTATAGATTCGGACTCTGTATCGATAATAATGTCTATTTCAATAAGATTTTTCAAAAAATATTTAATGTACAGATTCGACTTAGTTACAATTTTATTATATGTATAGATATCAATTACCTAAACACGCATTTAGAAAAAAATAGGTTTCTATATGTTTTTTGTCTAAATTAATGTTTTAATAAAGCATTTTCAAACATAACTGGCCGTAAATATTATTATTTAGTATACATTGAAAAACTGCATATTGGGTTCCTATTTATAATTTTTGTATATCCAGAGTGATTAAAATGGATGCCCAAACATTTAATTGAATAGCGGACTATTATTTTTATAGAATAGAAGGTCTCTATCCTGTGATCTGACTGTTATGTTAAAATATGTAAATTTTATTTTAATCAAATAATTTATATCTAACTTTAATTACTTTAAAATTATAGAGAATATTTTTTTTTGTTTTAATAAACAAAGACAATACATCATTTATCTCATTAACAATTGGGATCGTCAAAGAAATGTTCTGCTAAAATGGAGTACAAAACGCTTTAGGTCATTCAGCGAGTGTGGTGAATGAAAACAACTCGCACATTTAGACTAATTGAACGGACATGTATTTGTTCATATCGTATTTACAGTCGGGTTTATTCAAGCGAATAAGGATACTCATTAGATTGTTTGAAACGCAGATGAATGGACTAATGGTCATGATGTGAGTTCCTGAGTTTTAGTCCATTAACTTTCAAATATTGTGATTTACCCAATTTAAATAGATATGTTATATGTAAAATATCAGAATATACTCCAACAACATAACTAGGTATAATGGTGTACACTTACCCGTTTGTTGTCTCTAAACTTGAGCCAGCCGCTAATAACACTGTTATCCACATCACAAATCTCCTCTTCAAACTCTCGTCGAATCGGCAATGGAGAACCTCCTGGACTTTCTAGCTCTCGCCTTCTCATCACCGGCGTGCATTGCTGTGAAAGCCTGCCTTCATTCACCGCATCACTTCGTCTACCTAACACCGGTGTAACATTCGCAGACACGCCTCCCAAAAGACCGCGCCTGCCCATAAAAGGGCTCTCCCATTTTTTTGTTTTGCACTCAGAATGAAGACAAAGAGCATCAAAATTGGCAAGTTCTACAGAAACCCTGGTTTGAAGACCACTAGGATGGGTTGTAAGGATCGTCTGCTTAGCGATGCTGCAGCCATGGTGGAAGATGTCTTCCCGTCTCTCCATTGTGCTGAGTTACATCAGTCAGTCACAATCCCAAGGTCCCAAGTCATTAGTCTCCATCTGAAAAAAAAATGTTTTTGACTTGTAAGTTGTACTAGTATGTAAGTTCTTATACACTTTTGGCAAAGAATACAATAGATTAAAAAATACTTTGACTTCTTTGTTAAATATATAATATTTCAAATCAAAAAAGACGAAACTCTTGAAGATCACTTATTCCTTAACAAGATAATTAAATACCATAAATAAAATTTCAATTATTTCAACGTCCAACTTTAACCGAGAATTGGAACATAGAAGAACTTAATTAAATAGAAGGGACCTTTTCAATGGCAATTAGAAGCACGAAAAGACCGTATATTAGTTTAAATTGATTCTTACATTTCCTTAAATGAAGGGTGTAATTGACCGCTATAGATTTCGGTTGGGTATATTTGAGGCATAAATCGACATAGAACAATAATATTATTATAAAAAGGCATACATATATTCATATTATGTATGACATGATGAATATTACTTTCTAAGATTTACGCGAATATTTGACATTTTAAATAAAACTATCTTTTCAGATTATTTCGTGGATTTATTTTGATTTTTGGTTAACGACGCGGTTTGGAATGCTTTACAGCAATCTTCAATATCTCCCGTGACCATGATTGCTGAGAGCATTTGAAACTGCGTCGGGGTCCAAAAATCAAAATAAATCCAAGAAATAATCCAAAAAGTTTTATTTAAAATGATGAATATTTCATATAATAACAAAAAAAAATACGATCTTCTCTATAACATTTTTGGGCTATAACTTAGAAATTAGATCATTATTATTAGATCGAAATATGTTCTAAGAAGTTAATACTGTTTTATTTTTCCGAAACTCCATTTATTAGTAGAAGTTTGGAACTACATTATTTTTTGCCCATAATTAGAATTAATTTCTTTAGACGGGTCTGCCTGTCTGATATATTTCTTGGTATATAAATATTCTTAGACTATGATATGTTACAAGCGAGTATTGTTCGCTAACACAACAATCACGGCTTTTGTTAGTGTATTCTCAATTTTCTGCTGATTTTAACAATATGTTTAGTTTTTAGGTTAGTCAATATTGCATACAAAATAAATTTATTCTAACAGTGAATACATAAATTCAGTAATTGAACATAAACAATATTAACTTTCAAATCTTCAGCTGAGGTTTAGGGACGACTTAATCATTATATTTCATCATGACTTAAATACCCTGCACCATACAGCATATACCACTTCCAACGCTATATTCTAATGTTCTGGAAATAGAAATTCGGGGGCGCGTTTAATCTTTGAAATGGGAAGAAACGTAATTTCGGTTGAGAATATTGTCCGTTAATGAAGTTAGCAATGATAAAGGGTCGAGAGTTCATGAAGAATAATGATTATATTCTCTGGCTTTCACTTTTGATGTTTATCTTCTGTGCGATGACCTTATATGATAACTTATAATTCAAGTTTACAATTAGAAAACAACCAAGTTAAAGATGTTTAAAATGTACAATTTTGGTATGCTTTATAATAAATTTCACTAATAATTTACAGTGCTAGGTTAATTTTTAATAGACATGTAAGAATGTACATTGTTCTATCGGGCTCGACAGACGTTGCCCTGCTCGGATATGGTTTTCACAACATTCATAGAATCCGACTGTAGTGCCACCTGCGGAGTCCCGTTGTAAATTTAAATCACTCAATAATCCACTCAAATACACACAGAAAACTTCATCAAAATCGGTTTAACCGTTTAGGAGGAGTTCAGTTACATACATACTTACAGAAGATTATGTATATTAATATAAACTTCTATATATTTTTTTAAACCTTAAATTTAAAAATATACAAGTAACATAAAATATATGAAAGAGAAATGCCAAATGATGTAACAGATAACCAGCACCATGCTTTATAATGCAAATCTTAAGAATAACGAACATGATTCCTCATAACCAATCCAGCTCAAAAAAAATACACCAGTATGCTGAGCCCAGGATCACCCTCTAGAAGAACTAGAAACCAGATCTCCATCATACTTCGCATAACCAATGATGCCCAAATACGTCACAAAGGCTGCTAAAGACAAATACTTAACTAAATAAAGAAACGTCCAAACACCATTACAGGACGATAATCGTTATGATTACTGTCACGCTATGTTCCCAAACGAGCCTCTGTATAAATACTGCAGTTCATGAGGTCCTGGTCACACTCAACTCTGTTTTTATGATAAAATTATTATTTTTAATATGGATAACTAAATTATATTACAGTTTTATTCTAACATGAAGCTTTCGTAACATATTTTTTTTACATAAATAATTTTTAAATAATAATTTTTAATCATTTAAACTAATCTTGAAAATTTGCTACGTCAATTCTGATAAGAGTTATGGTAAGTAAGAATATTCTTTCAATAATATTATTGTATTTATACTTTCTTATATTTACACCAATATTTGACATTTTAAATAGAACTGTCTTTCAGGATTTTTTCGGGAGATTTATTTTGATTTTTGGTTCCCGACGTTTCCGTTGCCCGGACGCGTCTCTCCCGTGACCAAGATTGCTGTAAAGCATTCGAAACGTCGGTAACCATAAATCTAAATAAATCCGCGAAAAAAACCGAAAATATAGTTTTATTTAAAATTAAATTTGTGATTCTTTTAAGAATTAACAACAAAAATTATCGAACATAGAATAATAAGACAAGTAAAACTAGCTTCAAAAGTAGAACAATGTTATAACCATAGTAAGTCATGAATAATTCAGCGCATAATAGGCGGTACCGTCCTGTTTGTGCGTCGACGAGCCTCCCAATTATCATGTACAACTGTGACGGTAAGCGATATTATTGAATTGTATTTTGAGGCTTTATGAGTTAAATGCTACGCCATTATTTAACCGGTTTTACTATAGGGTGATGGGTTCGATCGCTGCTCAGGTGAATTAAAATTAATATAATATTGAACAGTACAAGAAAATCCTTTTAAGCTTAAGAAGTATTTAGTAGAATATATATCTTAGTAGCAAATTTTATCCAGATCCTTTCAGTCGTTCTGGCGTAAAAGAGTAACAAGCATCCATCCATCAATCCTGACAAACTTTCACATTTCTAATATTTACTAGCAGAACCCGCGGCTTTGCTCGCCATAAAACTGCAATAAATCTCTAAAAAGACAGTTTCATACAAACTTTAATCTCCTATTTAACCCCCTTATAGGATGAATTTCGAAAAATGCTAAAACACATATTTATTTAATTTTATTGAAGAACACTAATACCAAGTTTCAAGTAATTCTGATTAAAAAAAAATCTTATTAAATATTACGCCAATCCGTCACTCCGTTTTGACGTGAAAGAAGGACAAACAAACAAACACACTTTCACATTTATAATATTAGTATGGATACAGACTAGCGATGGATTAGTAAAAGTGTAAATCCACATACAATTTTTAGTGTTGTACTTGCGATATTGAATATCATTCCGTCTTATATAGAACATGGAATTCAAAACGGAATCCAAGTAATATCTATATGTAGAAAGTAATGCTATCATTCAAAAGCTTGTGCCTAGAGGCTCGAATACTTACACATATTTGCGTTTCTTATAAAAAAAATATAATAATGAAAGTTAAAAGTATTAATCAAACTACAACAAATTGGATATATGCGTTCATTGGAACGTCCAATAGGAAATAAAAGCAAGATTACGGTGACCATATTTTAAAAACTACAAATTTTTAGCATTTTTTTTATTTCTATATTTTTTATAATTAAGATAAAATGTAAGATTTTTATAAGAAGAAGTTACTCAATACGAATGTAATTTTCCTTTTATGAGTTTAGTTGGTGAGAATTTTTCGTTAATAATAGTTATATCAGAACTATCTATACCAGTATAACTTAAGAGGCAGTTTCATATTTCGAAGTAAAAATTCATTTCGTTCGATATGTATGTACGTGTAGTGTTTAAAATTTATTGACTTTTGGCAATAGAGTTTGCGATCTACCTACTTAATTTTTTTCCTGTCATAATACCTCCAATAGTATTAATCAATTTTTTATTCATTTGTTTATACTTTATTAAATTTACATGAATATTTGACATTTTAGATAAAACTATCTTTTACGATTATTTCGCGTGATTATGATTGCTGTAAATTATTCCAAACGTTGGCAACCAAAAACCTAAATAAATCCGCGATAAAATCCAACAAGATAGTTTTATTTGAGTAACATGATTCCGCTATTACTAATACTTAATTTATTTTATTTATCAGCATCAAAAAATCAGGACATAAATCCTGGTCACCCTAACACAAGTGACGAACGGGCAATTCGAGCTTGTATTTTGTGTATTTTAATGTAGAGTAATCCGATAGCGTGTTAATTCGATGTTTGTTCCCGAATTTATGACGATGCAATAAAGAGTTTTGATTGAGTTTGTAAATTAAGCCCGTTGCATCCAATTCTATACTGTTTTCGTTAAAATTTTCACGTGGATATTAAAATGAGAGCACACGAAAAATATAATGGTATTTATTTATTTAAATGTCAATAATATACTCGTACATCGATTATGGTTGTTTGATCGTTTCCATAACACCTATAAGTATGTATGTAATATCTAGCTATAGTATTTAAAAAAATATTATAAATGTGAAAGTGTGCTTTATGTAAAGTGAAAAGAGTGCTTATTAAATTGTCTTTTTAAATTTTTTTATTAAAAATTTTAAAATTATTATTCTTAATTAATTTTAACTTTTTAAATTACACATAGAACAATTAAGAGGCTTAAATAAATAATATTATATTTTATATTTTTTCTTCATGGTTATAAATATAATAATGGCAACACTAAATATAGATTACTAATTCATATTTTTAAAATTGTACTAATTATAATGCTAACAGCAAAAATTAAATAAATAATATTCCATATTCAATTATAAAACTAATTAAAATTATAAA